AGAGAGGGAAGTCTGGGCATCTTTGCTTAGACTGCTGCCCCCGCGACCCGGTCCCGGATAAGCGGAGGAAAATGGATGGATGGATGGATGGATTAATGTGTGAATATAAATCTCCATATTGCTAAGTGTAATTTATAGCACCTGGGCGACTTACATAAATACTTCTTTGTCAGTGTCTGGCACATCATGAGTGTCATTCATTCATTCAGTATTATACATTCATTTTATTTTGAAGACATTTAGTTTTATTAAAAGTAAAATGATCAGGTGCACTTTCTCTCCCTGGTTAGGTCTAATGGTCTAAAGGGAAGAAGCATAGCACAGCACTACAGAGGTGTGGTTCCAGAGCTCTCATTACAGGTAGACATGGGAGGAGCTACATTACCTGTGTAGAGCAGGCAGTCAGTGCACAGTGAACAGTACACCTGCTGCACTTCCCAGGCTCTCTCTATTTCACTCTCCCTCTTCCTGTCCCCTTCTCTTCCCCTTCTTTTCTCCTTGAAAGCACCAGGGAGCTGACAACCTTATCATGGATCCCAAGGAGGTCAGCGGGAGTGACAAAGATAAGGAAAAAGAAAAGGACAGAGTGATAAAGAGGCGGAACCGGCCTGTATTCTTACGCTACCTGGAGAGGAGAAGGACAGACACTATTGTTGCTGATGACATGGCCAAAGGTGACATCAACCTGGGGACACTGGTGAGGAGGAGTCAGTCTGACAAGACGGAGTACAGCGCTAAACTTAAAGGTACATCAGCTAAAGACCTCCCCAGGGATCAAAACTATGGCAACAATTTACGCACACCTGACCCAACACTTAGTCTACCAGGTCTCTTAGCTATTTACATTGCAGATTTTTTTATAACACACAACATTCAGAGGCTTGTGTCCATTACAGATGGACTGAGTGCAGCATATAAGGTATGAGGGCAAAAATTCAACGCACACACACAAACACATAATTGGTTATAATCTGGTAATGTACTGCTCTATAGCGCTGGATACTGGGCAGCTGTTGTGTTACTATCTGTTGAGCAGGTGATACTCCCAGAGGGACGAGGCCACATATGCAAACTGTTCTCCAAACCCATGCGCAGAGGAGTAGCTTTAGAAGTGCTCCAGAGCAGCTTGTAAACAAAACCTAGACACTAGTCACGTGTGATGACAGGCTTATTAAATATATCTATACTTGTTTTTCATCCCCAAATTTAGCCAAAGAGTTTCCAAGATATTTCTGACAGTTGACCTTATAGTATAGTTCACAGTGATTATAATATCTAACAAAAGAATTTGTTGCATTTGACCTGGAAAGTAAAAACTGCTGGAATGGGAAGATGGGTTGTGATTTAAAAAAAAAATGCAAATTTAGGTTGCTTCATCAGCTGCTGACAGTCTCTAACATATGTCCATGATTCATAAAACTGGCTTCACCTGTCCATGGAGTGCAGTCAGTGACAGGGAATGCTGCACTTCAGGCAAAATGACTGACATCACTGTGTCAGCAGGGGTTTGCTACTAAGATTAACAAAGTATGTAGCAGAGGTGGAATGTAACTAAGTACATTTACTCAAGTACCATACTTAATTAGAATTTTAAGGTATCTGTACTTTGCTTGAGTATTTTTATTTTATGCTACTTCATATTTTAACTTCACTACATTTCGGAAAAAATATAGTATTTTGTACTCACTATATTTATTTGATAGCTTTAGTTGCTAGTTACTTTTCAGAATGAGGTTAATAAAACAAAATACAGTATAATCACAAGATTTATTGATCCTTGGTGTAAAATTCACAAGCTAGCCTGCAGTAATTCAAATTATAAACATATAAGGTATATATTTTCTCATGATGATCAGTGTAAACTCTGCTATTTTGCAAAATGAGTACTTTTATTTTTGGTACTTGAAGTTTATTTTATGCTAATACGTTTGTACTTTTACTTAAGTAATGATTTGAATGCAGGACTTTTACTTGTGACAGAGTATTTTTGCACTGTGCTACTTTTCTTTACATAAACAATCTGAGTATGTCTTCCACCACCGGAATGTAGGTTTTCCTGTCATACTTGTTCCTGGGTTTCCTTTCTAATGAACAACACTTATCATGTGCCAAATTTGCCAGTTGCACATCATCTAAAATAATCACAACCTACTTCTCACTTGGTGTTGTACTGATAAGACATACACACACACTTGCCTTCAATCAGCAGCAGCTTTGCTTAGCTGACACAGAGACAGCCTACATTTTGGCACTTTGTCTTCTTGACCAACCTGCGTCAAGGCAGGCAGGGTTGCCAAAAAAAGGCTGCTATGTTTTCAGTAAACCAAACTTCCTCCCTGTTCAACTTTAGTCTCACATCTGACAAGCAGTAATACATATTTGCAGTGGTATTACCATTGCAAATATTGACAGAGTGATGACTTCACTGAAAGAGGAAACATGTGACTTGATGTTAAACAACCAGTTCTCATCTGCTTGTCAAACAGGTTGGTCAAGCCACAAAACCATGGCAACATGACATCAATATGTCTATTTATTTACAGTAACTAAATGTAATAGTTCTGACAATGATTTACCAGCACTAAATTCACACGAAGAGACAGTAATAAACCAGATATTCCTATGTATTTACAGTATGTACTACTCATGCATGAAGCAGTGACTTCAACGCACTTAGTAAGACATACGGATTGAACCTTTTCCTCACTGTGTGTGTCACCATGAGATTTTTATGGCATTAAACACATTTTGTGGTGTTTATGCATGATACATGGCAACATACATTTAAATAAACCTCCATCTTTTTTAAAGTAAAAAACAAATCCTTTCAGTGGATTTTTATAGACTTGATATCTTCAGGCTTTATTCAAATTCAGTATACTTTATCCAAAATATATTTTCAGTATTCTTGTTCCATTGTGCACTTTGCTGTGTGGCAAAGTCTAATGTGTCATTTTTCTTGATGGCGATACATGATACACCATACCTGGTATTCTGTTCTGGAACTGTCTAATGGATCCCTTTCAATGGGCTGAACAGTGAAAAGCCCTGTATCAACTTTCGTGGGAACTTCTGTGTCGGAAACCATACCTAACCAGACAAAGTGCTGGCAAAAGGAAAAGTCAGCATGGTTTGAGCTCTGCTGTTGAGTCCTGAAAGGCTACGGTACACTTTATTTTTGTAACACTGTGAATGTGTTTGTGTATAGGAATGTTTTCAAGGCCAGTTCAAGGTCAGTGTCAAGAAGCATTTTACAAATCATTCAAACAGCTTTTAAGAGAATCTTTAAGTCACTTCTTTTGTGTGATGATGCACGAAAAGAGCAGAAACCTGATTAAAAATACAATGTGCTTATGTGAAGCGAGGCATCAAGATCCCTCAGCTTATCTCTAAGGAGACTTGTCTCATGGGTGGAGGCTTTTAGAGATTCTGGGATCTCTTTTCATGCTAAAAGGCCATGTGACACTTAATGATAGTTTGTGTACATGACATTTCAACTCGTTCCACAACAGTGTCTCTAATCGTCTTACTAGAATTAATGAAAGTATTCATCCACAGCATAAAGAAAAAATTTATTTGAAAGGAATTTTCTCTGAAGTTGCATTACACTCACACAAAGGAGATAAGTTTGTCTTTTTACAGAGGTGCTATCAGGCACAGGCAAGTTAATTAATAACTGCAGAGGAAAAATGGCCACACAACTATTTTCAGTCTTATCACAATGGACACACTGTAAATAGGCTTAGTTTACCAAACATGATCTTACTATCCTATAGCCTGAAAAGGTGAATTCAGAAGGACACTGTACAAACTCTTAAAAGAGGAGTTTAAAGCAAAAGTGATAAGGTTATAGCAACTTCAGTTCATACACTCACTCTACAACATGCAACTGCAATTTATACCACATTAAAATGTGGTTCTTCATCAAGGTACAAGGGGAGAACACAAACCATGAACAAAGCTTTACGATCCTACAATGACTGCATAGTGAAGTTTATAATATTAGATATTGTCAGAAAAATGATGAATCACCTCTGTAGGTGTTTATTTAATCCATGTTTTTATTGTATCTATCTTAGGGAAAAATGTAAGTGTACACAGGTTGCAGGCAGAATATGGCCAGATCTCTGCCACATGTGAACACAATATGTGCAGTGTTCATATAAGAAAGGACTGCCCACTGGCCAGAAACACAAGCCATTCAATTCAGCAAAAGGTTATTACTGTACATCTGCAACTGACAATGTGTTGCAGTCGTATTCCGATTAAAAAACTAACTAAAAAAAAGATTAAAATGAAATGCTGAGGAAATGGAAGCTACAACTGCCATACTCATTTCTTTGACACTGCAACTTCCTCACTTACTTAAAAAACATTAGATCTGCTGTAAACCCAGATTTAACAAGAGCATATAAAAATTTGCATGTAAACTGGGCTAATCATTAGCTCTATAGCTCATATGTACTGTATAGTAAACTTGTGCAAATAGTTCCTCGAGTGCAGTCAACTAGATTCTGTACTCTGAAGCTAGCTTTCTGCCTGCACTTGTGTGAATCAGCGTCAGTGTCTGTGTGTCCTTGCGTATGTAGGTGTATGATAATCAGTGTGTGTCCCTGCCCCCACACACGTCCATCCAGCCAAGATGAAATGTCACAGCAGGCCAGAGCATTACATCAGCGGCGCAGTTTGTTTCGTAATCTGACACAGGCCTCGCAGCCTTCTGTCACTCCCTCCACCTCGCTCTGTTCATCACTCTTTCTCCCCAGAGGAGGAAGTTGTGTGTGGCGGCGATTAGGCAGAAAGGAAGCACCCCTCTTCCCTGAACAGACACTGCTGCCTGCCATGCAAAGCACAGAGTGGCTACAGACTGATTAGGCAGCAGAGTAATAAAAAAGAGAAGTGAGCCTGACTGGCATGTTAAGTGAGGCCTTTGGCGTTTGAGTCAAAATAATTAGATCACTGTGAAATACTGAGGGCTGCTGAGGTGTCAAGCAGATGTGTTAGAAGAGATATATGATTTTCCAAGCAGGCACATCCCACAGGGCCACGTTTTCAGCACTTAAGCAAATGTGTAGGTGCCGCAGATGCATTGAAATGCTGTGTGTGTATATA